TTTAACTTTTTTTTTATCCAAAAAAATTCTTCTATCTTATAAAAAGAAACATATACACATGACTTTTAAAAATCTTTAAAATAACAATTTTTAAATATTACAGCATTTATCATATCTTTTAATTTATATCCTTTTGTATTCTTTTTTTACTTTATTATTATTAACTATTTTTAAGATTTTGAATAAGCACATTTATTAGGATTGCATTTACCAAAAACAAAACCTTTAATCTCCTTTTTAGGTTTAAGAGAATTTCATTCATTTTATATATATAATGTTTTAAATTATATATCTTAATAGTATCATTTAAAAAAATTAATGCATAGATTTTAACCTTTTAACTTATCAAATTAAATATTTAAAAAAATACTTTTAACTTTTTTTTTACCCAAAAAAAATCTTCTATCTTATAAAAAGAAACATATACACATGACTTTTAAAAATCTTTAAAATAACAATTTTTAAATATTACAGCATTTATCCTATCTTTTAATTTATATCTTTTTGTATTCTTTTTTTACTTTATTATTATTAACTATTTTTAAGATTTTAAATAAGCACATTTATTAGGATTGCATTTACCAAAAACAAAACCTTTAATCTCCTTTTTAGGTTTAAGAGAATTTCATTCATTTTATATATATACATATAATGTTTTAAATTATATATCTTAATAGTATCATTTAAAAAAATTAATACATAGATTTTTTATATATAATGTTTTAAATTTATATATCTTAATTGTAATTTGTATCATTTAAAAAAAATTATAAACACATAGATTTTAACCTTTTAACTTATCAAATTAAATATTTAAAAAAATACTTCTAAATTTTTTTTAGGATTGCATTTACCAAAAAACAAAACCTTCCATCTTCTTTTTAGGTTTAAGAGAATTTTATTCATCGTTCCTTCTCTTCAGGGTTTGTTCTCTATTATGAAGAAAAACAACTTTTAGTCTCTTTTCTAGTTTTCATCTCTACATTATCTGTCATCCAGATTCAACAATATTTGTCAATAGAGGTAAATAATATTTCCTCATTATCATTTGATTATTTTTTTCTTCTTAGAATAAACTATAACTCTGTTATAAGAATTTTATTTTTTTTACTTTGTTATGTATCTGTTCTTCCTGAATTATTTCTTCTTGGAATGGACTAAATAGATAACTTTGTTGTGGTTTTTTTTATTGTATTCTGTTTGAAAATTTTAATGATTTTTTTTAATGGAACTTGTAACTTTATTTTTTTTCTATTACAGAGATGTCATATAGTACCTCACTTGAATCATCAGGAGGTTCACCACCAGAAGTTGGAGAAGAATACTTAAATGCATTGAATCCTGTTATTGATTTAGATGCAAATACAAATGAAGAACCACTAACAAATGAATCAACACCAGCAAATGAAGTTGTGAATGAAGAAAATGTTGAGAGCAGTGACATTGTTATTCAAAAGTCCAAGAGGAAGAAAACTTCTCTAGTTTGGGATCACTTCAAAAAAGTGGAATTAAAGAATGGGAAAAAATGGCAATGTATACACTGTAAAAAGAATTATGCTGTTGTTTCTAGTGGATCAACCAGTCATTTGATGAGGCATTTACAAGATATATGTCATGTTTACAAGAAGCTAGTAGCACAACAAAAAAAATTAAACTTTCAGCCTGCAAAAAGCATGATTGATGAGAAGCTTTCTGGGCCACTACTTATGAATTCAGGGGCTAAATATGACCATGAAAGACAACGTGAAGCCACTGCACATTGGATTATGATGCACGAACATGCATTTAGTATTGTTGAGGAAGAAGGTTTTCTTTTTATGATGAAATGTTCTAATATTTCATATGAGAAAATTAGTCGGAAAACATTGAAGAATGATTGTATTGCTGTTTATGAAGCTGAAAGAAAAAAGTTAAAGTCTACTTTGAGGATGGTAAATAAGATTTGCTTGACCACAGATTTATGGAAGTCACAAAATCAGAAGATAGAGTACATGGTGTTAACTGGTCATTTCATAGATGCTGATTGGGTTTTGCAGAAACGCATTCTTAGTTTTGTTCATGTTCCTCCTCCTCGGCGTGGTGTTGATATCGCTGATGCAATCTTCAAATGTCTTAAAGATTGGGGCATTGAAAATAAAATATTTAGCGTGTCAGTGGATAATGCTCACTACAATGACAGATGTTTGAAAGAATTAAAAGTTCTGATTTTAAGGCACCGAAAATTAGTGCTAGATGGAAAGTTATTTCATGTGCGATGTTGTGCGCATATACTTAACTTGCTTGTTCAAGATGGTATTGGGAAAATAGCAAAAATAGTTGAAAACGTGCGTGAAAGTGTAAAGTTCATCAATCAGTCTGAAACAAGGTTGCAAACATTCTCACAAATAGTTCAACAACTAAAGCTTGGTGGTAAAAAATTAATTCTTGATTGCCCTACTCGTTGGAACTCCACCTATCAAATGTTGTCAGTTGCAATGCAGTTCAAAGAAGTCTTCCCTCGATTTCAAGATCGAGAATCAAGCTATAAAACTCTTCCAGATGATGATGATTGGGAAAAGGTTGAAAAAGTTTGCAAGTTGCTAGAGGTATTTAATGTTGTTACAAATATTATTTCTGGTAGTGAATATCCAACTGCTAACTTATATCTTGCTGAGGTGTTTCGAATTAAGCTAGTTTTAGATCATGGTATCCAAGATGAATCTGATTTTATGAAAGAAATGACAAAAACTATGAAGGAAAAATTTGATAAATATTGGAGTCAATGTAATCTTGTCATGTCGCTTGCTTCTGTTTTGGATCCTAGGATCAAAATGATGGGTGTTAACATGTGTTTTCCTTTAATTTATGCGGAAGATGAAGCAAGAAAAAATATAGAAAATGTGCGTATTGCTCTTGATGATATGTACAAAGAGTATGCCGATCTACTCAGTGAGCATGGTGAAGAAGGATCTAGTAGAACCAATGTTGATCAAAATGGACTTATTTTGGAGCCACAAAAATCCTCAGGGTGGTCATTGTTAATGAATTATGTCGAAGAACAACAAGCAATTCCTGCTATAAAATCTGAAATTGAAGAGTATTTGATTGAGCCAACTTACAAACCTAAAGATAATGGGCATATGTCATTTTGTGCCTTGGAATGGTGGAAATTGAATAGTGGAAAATATAGAGTGTTGTCCCGTATGGCAGCAGATGTTCTTGCCATTCCAATATCTACTGTGGCTTCGGAGTCAACCTTTAGCGCCGGAGGGAGAGTTATTGATTCATTTCGAGCTTCTTTACATTCATCTACTGTCGAAGCTTTGATTTGTGGTGGTGATTGGCTTCGAATATTGCATGGAATTAGGAACAAACCTAAGGTGATATGCTATCTTATCTTTTGATTATTAAGTATAATATCAACTTTAAAAAATAACATGATAATTTGTTAAAACTAACTTCTTCTTTTTATTAATAGGTGGAGCAAGTGCAAACAGAAATTACATTACTCCCATGATGATAAATAGGTACATTTTTTTTTATCTTTCTTATTCTTTAATGGACTTGGTTTTAATTTCATCATGAGTAGTATGCTCAATAACAGTTACTGTTCTTTTTTACTTCTTTCATAATACAAATTCAAAAGAATAAGCACACTAAATTTTTTTATGCTGCTGAAGTTATAATTACTCTAAATTAGGTGATTAAGCTTCCAAGTTATTTTTTGAATGTTTTGTTTTGCAAATGACATGTCTTTCAAAATTTAATATATATGTTTATAATAATGTATTTTGTTATATATTGATGATGAAAAAAGTGATCTCTACAAAAGTGAATATATATGTTTATCATAATGTATTTAATATATATCTTTATCATAATGTATTTTGTTATATACCGATGATGAAAATTATGGTGGTACATAGCATAACAAGACATGATAATTTTATGTAAGTGTTTTAATATATGAATTTAATTGGTTAGAAAAATAACATCTTGCATTTTGCAGGTTGTCTCTTATGTAGTAACTATAGCAGCAAAGCTCTCACAATAACATTTGTTAATGAAGGTTGAAAGGGTGTAAATTGTAATCATTCTATGATGAGAATGTATTAACTTTTAGTAGTTTTTGTTATAATATTTTATTAAAAGTTGTAAGGTTCCTAATTATTTAGATAAAATTGTAAGACAAAATTAAATTCTAATTGAGTAATTTTTGAATTAGAGTTTCAAATGTATCTCTTGAAGATTGGTATTTGGTAGTTTTTTATGTTGTAGATCTTTGGAGACAAAGTTAAATTTTAATTTGATAAATTTTATATTAATTCAGTATTAATTTAAAATGTCAAATATAAAAAAAATAGATTTTAAAAAATGACTTTGAAGTTCGTGAACCATACGAGCTGAACCTAATGAGATGAACCTAACGAGCTGAATCGAGTTGTTCGTGAACTTTAAACGAGTCGAGTTTGAGCTTAAAATAAAGTTCGTGTCGAACTCGAGTCGAGTTTCGAGCTGAACATATTCTTATCGAGTCGAGTCGAGCTAAGACAGGTTCGACTCGACTCGACTCATTTCCAGCCCTATTTGTACTGTAAATTTTAAGTTAATTATATAACAAGACAAATTAATATTTTAAGTTATTTTACATTATCAGTGCATATCAATTAATATTTAAAATTGTTCTACACTATTAGTGTAAGACAATTTTACATATACAACCAATTAAAAGGTCTATAATTATCATGTAATATTATTTTTAAAATAATTTTTTTTTCTAATACATAATTATTATTGGTTGACGGTGTAAAATAATGCATTTTATTTTTTCTCTTAATATACATTAAAATATATTTCATAGAAATTTTAAAATAAAATATCTAAACTTTTTTTTAAATAATTAAATTTTTTTTTGAAACATCAAACAACGTTCTACGCTGCAACTTCATTTTTCTCCGACCGCCGTTGTCTGCCACCACCTGGTACGTTGTTCATTTCTATGCTCTTTCTTCTTCATCGCCATGATTCCTCGACCCTCAAATTCATTCTATTCCCTTTCTCACTTAATTCTCACTAAAAATTCTTCTTTCTTTTCTTCTTCATCATCTTCTTCCTCTTCTCTAGTTACTCTCCATGATTCTGAATCAAAACCAATTTCAAGTCCTTTTTACAATCTTCTTCCACCCACCCAAAACCCTAACAACATCGTAAACCTCATTTCTTCAATCCTCAAACAGAAAAGTTTCCACCTTTCCCTTTTTCAAAATGAAATCAAAGGGATTCTTCCTCACATGGGTTCCCATGAAATTTCTAGGGTTTTGCTTCGATGCCAATCTGATTACTCTTCAGCACTGACATTTTTCAATTGGGTTAAAAATGATTTGAACATCACACATAGTGTGCATAATTATTGCATAATTGTTCATATACTTGCTTGGTCTAAAGTTTTCTCTCAAGCTATGAAATTGTTGTCTGAGTTGATACAATTGAATGTTCCTGATGAGGATATTTATAAGAATTTGATTGGTTGCACTGAGGATTGTAATTGGAATCCGGTAATATTTGATATGCTTATTAAGGCTTATGTGAAGTTAGGTATGGTTGATAAAGGTTTGGAAACTTTTAGGAACAATGTTGATGCTTGTTTTGTTCCGAATGTTATTGCTTGTAATTGTCTGTTGAATGGTTTGTCGAAGTTTAATTATATCGATGAATGTTGGGAAGTGTATGAAGAAATGGGAAGACTTGGAATACATAGGAATGTTTATACTTTCAATATTATGACGCATGTTTTGTGTCGAGATGGAGATACCGATAAAGTGAACGGATTCCTTGAGAAAATGGAGGAAGAAGGATTTGAACCGGATTTGGTTACGTACAACACACTCATTAATGGGTATTGTATGAAAAGAAGGTTGGAGGATGCTTTTTATCTTTACAAGATCATGTGCATTAGAGGCATGGTTCCTAATCTGGTTTCGTATAGTGCGTTGATGAACGGTCTTTGTAAAGAAGGGAAGATCAAGGAGGCTCATCAGCTTTTTAATCAGATGGTTCAGAAAGGAATTGATCCGGACATTGTGTCGTATAATACTCTTGTATCCGGTTATTGCAAAGAAGGTAAGATGCAAATGTGTAGATCACTATTGCACGAAATGATAGGAATCGGGATTCGTCCTGACAGTGTCACGTGTAGGATTGTCTTTCAAGGATATGCAAAGGAGGGAAAGCTTTTGTCGGCGTTGAATTTGGTTGCGGAGCTTCAGAGATTTGGAATTATGATTCCGCAAAATCTATACGATTATCTTTTAGTTGCATTGTGTAAAGAAGGTCGACCATTTGCGGCTCGAAGTTTTCTGATAAGGATATCTCAAGACGGTTATGCGCCTGAAATGAGTACTTATGTTGAACTAGTCGAGTCTCTATGTAGATTCAATAATGTGGACGAAGCGCTGATTTTGAAATCTGAGATGACGAAAAAGAGTATGAAACTGAATCTCACTACCTATAAAGCCATCATAAGCTGCTTATGTAGAGTAAGAAGAACTTCAGAAGCTGAAGGCTTGTTGGAAGAAATGGTTAGTTTAGGTATTTTACCCGATTTAGAAATTAATAGAGCGTTAATAAATGGTTATTGTGAAGAAAATGAAGTTGAAAAAGCTGTATTGTTATTGAAATATTTTGCCGAGGAGTTTCGAGTGTACGATACCGTTAGCTACAATGCGATTGTTAAAGTTTTTTGTGAGGGTGGTAATGTGGCTGAGTTGATGGAACTTCAAGATAAGCTTGTTAAGATAGGTTTTGTTCCAAATAGTTTAACATGCAAGTATGTTATCCAAGGATTGCAGAAAGATATGGAACTCGACGACGATATAGTGAACCGCAACATGGTTGAAGTCTAAGTTCTTCCTGGTATGAATGATAGATACATTACCTCAAGGCTCAAAGGCTAATGTATGAAATTGAATATGCAGATTAGTGTCTATAACCATAACAAGGAGTTTGTGTCAAATTATATAAAATTGATCAGTGAATCATTGCAGATAACTCATGACAGTCATAAATTGTATTTAGTCTTTATGATCTGATCAATGTTTTGATATAATTTTTGACATCATCAATTCGTGTATATTTGTAAAATACAAGTTAATATTATTAATATAAATATAAAAATGAATCATCAATAAACTAGTGAAATTAGTAGTCATAAATTGACTTGCAGGTTCATCAATTTCCTACTCTAAAGACCACATGTTTAAGTTTATTCGCATACTTAAACTACTATTAGCATATCTTAGCATTTCCATAGCTGCTTGATTGTATGATTTATTTAGTCATGTGCACGAGTTAATTCACTCATTAATTTAAAAATAAGGGTAACGTTAACATGTACCTTTGGGGCACAAGTTAAGAATTAAATTAAAAAACATTATCTTGAAAATTGTGTACAAACTTTAATTAAAGTATAAAATTAATTTTTAAATCGTTTTTTCCAATGCAAATTTACTATAAGTAGCTTTCTTAACATGTGTCCCAAGGACACAAGTTAACATTACCCTAAAAATAATAGTTTGTCATTAATAATATATATTAATAAAATGATTACATTAATAATATATAGCTATTTTTTCATATATCATCCTTAAAATATTGTATTTTAAATTAAAAACAATTTTAAAATAAAAATATAAGTAATATAAATAATAAAAAAATAATATATTTTTTCCGTATTTGGATTCATATATTATTTTAAGTATATTTATTTTTATTTTCTTTAATTGTATAAAAAATGTAATAACTCGTGGATCCGCGCAAATTCTAGTTTAAATACCTGTGTGTTTACACGAATACTATTACACGCATTTGTTTTTAAAATGTAATAAGAATGAAAAAACAGAAAAACAAAATTATTTAACCAAAAGAGTTTATTATTTTTAAAAATAAAACAAATTTTTATTTATATTTGAAACATAAATATAGTTTTTTTTATATATACAAATATTTGGATCAACCATAAATTTTTCCTTATGTAATGTTTTGACGTTTTTTATAAAAATATTTATGCAGTCATTTAGTTTTATAAATCTCAATTAATAACATAGTATTTTGCAAATATTGTTTTAATTGTATAAATAAATTTAATAACTTATATAAATATGTTTTGTCTGTGTTTGGAATCATACATTATTTTAAATATATTTATCTTTATTTTTTTTAATTGTAGAAAAACTGTAATAACCCTTGCACGGATTCTGGTATAGATATTTGATCGTACCTGATCAGAGAGATCGCTAGACTGCCACGTATCTGAGCTGTCGAACGGTTGACTTGATGGACAGAGGGGGGGGGGTGTACCTGAAACACACTCTGATGTCAAAGTAAGCGACAAGCAGAGTGATAACAAGTATAGAGAAAAAGAGTGAGAATAAGATTACCTGACCCTCTAGTGGAAGAAGGTATTTATAATGAGCCCCCAGCGCAGGGCCAACGGTTACTATGCGTTGGGCTGGGCTGCCAGACCCAATGTTGGTAACTGGTAGGGCTGACGTGGTGTCGTGAAGACCAACACATGGTCTTCGCCCTAGTGTAATGGTTCTGTGCTATCTGAGAGGTGGAGGACCGAATCATCAGGACACGGATAGTTACTTAATGACGTGTCTCCACTAGGGGACACGTAGAGAATGTGGGGGAGGTCTGAGGAACTTCCCGGGCTGGATGGACTCTGCCCGACAGTGGGGCAGGAGAAGGCTAACCGGACAGCTATGAAGGTCCTGCCCGACGGCTGTTGGTCCGTGTCTGACGGGAGAAGATGTTCTGCCTGACAGATCTTCTTTTCATCGATAAGGTCTTATTGGGCCTTCCGATCCGGTGGAGCTTGGGCCTGCTCGACTGTGGGCCAGGTGTCGGTCCAATCCAGAAGAGCAGCCCCCTAAGTCGTTGCTCGTAGTCAAGCGGACTATGACTTATGGCGTGAAAAGTGTCGGGCAGCACGCAGCCACATCGGTTGAGTGAGTCTACGACGCAGGGGAGACCCGTGGTCGAGGAGGTGAATCTGAAGAGACGTAGGGAAGGTGGAGGGTCGCCATGTGTTATCTTGTAGAGGCTACGAGCTAGGTACTTGAGTGCCTAACGATGTTTCGTTTCCCGTGCTAGGGCATATATATATATATATATATATATATATATATATATATATATATATATATATATATATATATATATATATATATATATATATATATATATATATATATATATATATATATATATATATATATATATATATATATATATATATATATATATATATATATATATATATATATATATATATATATATATATATATATACACGCGGGTCCAGCTCGTCTTTTCGTTCATTCATTCTTTCTGCAGCTGCCCGACCTTCTGATTTGTCTGCTCGTCATCTACAGTCTCCCTGTTCGACGCGACAACCTTTTTTACCGCCAAATCACGTAAGTTTCTGCCTCCTTACTGGTGCCTTTTAGTATTTCTGGCGGCGCTCCCGGCGGTTCCGTTGGAGACGCCAGGGTGACCGTGGGCTTTTTCCGGCGAATACGCCGGAGGGCCCTTCGAAACTACGGTTTTGACTGATTATCCTCGGCCCTTGCGATGAGTGGCCCGAGGAGGGTCGATGAATGTTTGAATGTCCCGAGGGTAGCCGATGAATACCCCGGACAAGAATGATGAATGCGCCGAGGACAACGATGGTGTTTCCCGGGCACATCGAAGGGTCGGGTCACCCCGAAAATGGTCTCCTGGGCGCCTAGTCGTCCACGCCCTTTCACTTGAATTACGGTGGAAGGGTGAATTTGATTTGGCTGTCGAATTCACCAAGTTCCTCAGCTTTTCAGGTAAATGGTCGACCACGAAGAAGAGGGGACGATGTGGTATCTTTCTAACGACAAAAAGGGTCGTCAAGACGAGGCCGTCGTGGATCCCTCGGAGAGGCTTATAGTGGAGTGGGTCGGGGACGAACCCCTCAATTATATGTCGCGGTTTGTGATCGATGACGCTGATGTCTTTGCCGTGATTGAAAATAGGGAGGTTAGGGCTCCCCGTCAGTTTTGAGCATGTCGACCACGAGAACTAGACCGTATATGCTCTCGGTATGACGGGGTCCGGTTCCCCATGTATGAATTTTCTTTCAAGGAGGTGGGAATGCGTATGCCGTTCACGGGCTTTCAGTAGGGTGTGTTCGACCACTTAATGCTAGCACCGTCTCAACTGCACCCCAACTCCCTTGCCTTTCTCCGGGCATTCGAGATTGTTTGTAATTACCTCGAGCTCGGGGCCACCATCTCGTTGTTCTTCTGTGTCTTTCACCTACAGCGGCAGACGGTGGCTGGCCGACATAACTGGGTCTCCTTGAAGCAACCGACCAGGCTTTTCTGGGCGTACATCGACTCTGTTCGGGGGTTCAAGGACAGATGGTTTGCGGTTATGCCGGTGATGGATGAGGCCTATAATACAATGTTCCGGAGAGAGGTCACTGTCGTGGACGACCAGTCTGAGGAGAGCTTTGAGTCGAATTTCTCCTTGGAGTGGATGGAGTTGCACTTTCACTCTGATACCGAGAGCTTCATCTACTGACCTAATCGCCTGGGCGGGAGGATAGGTTGGCCTTTAAGAAGCTGATCGACTTCGTGGGGCGTCTTCCCCCTCGAAAGTGCGTGATCCCTGATGGACAGTACATTTGTGATGCTGACGGGGAGATTTTGACCGAGACCCGGTGCATCAACACGAAGGCCCTGCTCGAGTGCCGGACAGAGGCCGAGGCTCACCGTTTCCTTAGTAGTAGGGCGCTTCCTCGGCTTGCCTTTATCTTTTTGACTTCCTGTGCTAACTGTTTTCTTGTGTTCTTCTTGTAGGTGTTATGGGTTCAGTGGAAGAACACGTGACGAAGCTGCTGAATAGGGGTGCCCGACGTCCTGTGGGGAGGGCGGCTGCTATCTGGAAAGAGGCGGCTTCTGGACCAACGGGATTGGCTTCGTCCCCACAAGGGAGCGACTCCCCAGCGTCACTGTCGACCTCCAAGAGGCGACGGGAGACTGAGGCGTCCCTAATTGACTTGTCGGGTGGGTCCTCAGAGTAGAGCTTTATTTTTCCCCCTGCTGTCTCCGGCCAAATTTCTTTACGGGGGGAATGTTCCTGTTGTGGCCTCCAAAGAGCAAAGAGCATCTTGGTTGCGGGTAAGGAGGCTCGTGGGAGGATGCTGTCTAAAGGCCTGGCTTCGATGGTGAGGGCGTTCGAGACAGCTCTCGTGCTGAACGAGGAAGGGTGCTTCTCGGCTAATTTAGCTACTGCCCGGAGCGAGTTGGCGGTATCCGAGGATGTCCGGTCCAAGCTAGTGGCCGATTAGAAGGAGTACCAGAGATAAGATAAAATCCACCAGGAGAGGATCTAGGAGCTCGAGAAGAAGCTGAAGGACGAGGAGGAAGAACTGGTCGGGATCAGGAGTCGAACTGCTGAGCTCAAGGTTCTGGTCTCCCCTGCCAAGGAGGAGTCTGAGGAGGAGCGGTAGCTGGTGTCTCGGCAGGAGCTGGTGGAGAGGATCTGTCTGCTGGAAGAGGACTGCTTGGGGGCCGTCGAGGTGGGCTTTAAGAGTGTCGTCGACCAGCTTCGGCTCGTCAATTCTGGGTTTGATTTGTAACCGACAGGATTGGCCTTATCATTAGATCTAGGGCGACCATATTGTCACGCCCGGTGGGTCGGAGGACGAGGAGGAGGACCACACTGTCAGGGACTAGGAGGACCATGTAGATTAGGAAATGGAGGCCTGCGTGCCCCTTTTTTGTTTTGTCGGCCTACGTGCCAAACATTTTTTGGCCTGCGTGCCCTGCTTTTGATTGTTGTTTGGGTTGCGTGCCCTGTATTGTGA